GATCTCTGCCTTTTTGTGCTAAGAAATATTTACCTACCTCAAAGTGGCATAAGATATTCTATTTTCTTCTAGAAGATTTATAGTTTTAGCTCACATCTTGATCCATCTCAAATTTTGCTGTGACACCATCTGTTGATGAGACTTTTCTTTCCACTTGATACTTTGTACTGAGAAGTATGTTGTCCATACAAGTGTATCAAAGATATATATGTACGTATGTGTGTGTGTGGTCTTTTTTAAGCTACAGTGATAAATGTACGAGTCTATTTCTGGATTTCATCTGTCCTTTCAGTAATGCCATACTGTCTTGGTTCCTGTAATTTTAAAGTCGGCATGTACATAGTTAATGTTGACAGTGTCAAATTCTCCTTCCAAAAGGTTGTACAAATTCATTCCTCTCTCTTACCAGCCTGGGTCATTGTTTAACCTTATAAATCATGGGTCTATGTCTTGTTCACTACTGTGTCTCCATGACTGAGCAATGTACCCAGCATGAATGATGAGAAGCTTTAAGCTATCTATGAATGTTGCAAACACTTATTAAGCTCACCTAGTAAATAACATTATGATGAGACAATCAAGCCATCTAGGCAAACATTTCTGAAAGCCCGAAAGATCGTGTCCTCAGACTAGGGGGGAGTAAAACAATAGCAACAATGAAAGCTAAATATCACACAGTATATATTACACACAGACATGTTGTCCTTGTTGTCATGGCTTAGATGCCCCCCATTACAGCTACATTCCAAGCAGCTACAGGAGAGGACAAGGAAGTAAAGGGACAAAAGTGAGGTAGCCTTCTGCAAGGGAAGTTTCCAGCAGCTACCACCTGACACTATGTCCTATTAAATTTATGGCCACTTTTTATGGCATTTATGCCCACATATAGGAGCGAGGGAGGCTGAGAAATACAGGTTTGATTTACCCCGTTCTTAACTTCTTCTTCTGTCATGTAGAGCCCAAAGAATCCTAACTTACATACTCTATCTCCTTGAGTGGGGTTTTGGTACCCAATGTGTATCCCATGGTGCTGACCAAAAAGACTGAGGGTATCCTGTTTTAAAGTTTAAAGTCAGCAATGGAAAATAGCAGCTTACCTTAACTGTAAAGAAATACAGGCCCACAGAAGTCTTGTGAGGAAGAGCACAGTCCCATCTAAATACTGAGGAGTCTAGTAACCCCAGTTCCTAATTGGTGTCAGCCAGTCAAGATGGACCCACACTGAAAACAAGTTACTCTAGAGTTGTCAAACGTGATTTTTAAATTGGACATATCTCATAAAGATTCTAATGTAACTGGGGTGCCTGGGTGGCTCAGTATGTTAAAGCCTTTGCCTTTGGCTCAGGTCATGATCCCAGGGTCCTGGGATCGAGCCCCACATCGGGCTCTCTGCTCAGCAGGGAGCCTGCTTCCTCCTCTCTTTGTCTCTCTGCCTACTTGTGATCTCTGTATGTCAAATAAATAAATAAAATCTTTAAAAAAAAGATTCTAGTGTAACTGGACTCAAGGCATTTCTATTTCAGAAACTGTGACCAAAAGACAAACAAACAAACAAACAAACAAACAAAAAAAACACCCACAAAACCGAAAAACAAACTTACCACTGACAAAAAAAATAACTAACCAGTGTACTCTGCCTAGCAGAATGTTCTGAAGTTTTGGCAAATGGTCCTCACTTCTTCTAAATGTCATTTTCATATTGCATCTGGCATATCAAGGGCGTATTTTCCCGTTCAATTTCAACATCATCAAACATGTATTCTATCAGCACTGCTCTAAAATGGAGATAATCATGGGAAGCGCTGCTTGCCAAGAACTATTCTAAATCACTCTCACACACTCTGTCTCACACTCAATTTTTTCCCTATATAATGCTTATAATTTATCCTATTGCTCCATAAGTGGATTTTATTACCTCCATTTTATAGATGGTAACAGGGGCTCAGTGATCCCGTAACCAGTAAGGTATACTCCATGGTCTCTCACATTCTGGGCTCTGCCTGGGGGTGAGGCCCTTGAAACTTATGGCAAACACCCAGTCCTAAGAATGTTCCCCAATAAGCCTAAATACAAGGGTGAGGGAGGTGTGATACCCTCTTAAGGTAAGGATGCTGATTATGCAGCATTATTTTTTTTTAAGATTATTTATTTATTTACTTATTTGACAGAGATCACAGGTAGGCAGAGAGGCAGGCAGAGAGAGAGAGGGAAGCAGGCTCCCCACTGAGCGGAGAGCCTGATGCAGGGCTTGATCCCAGGACCCTGGGATCATGACCCAAGCTGAAGGCAGAGGCTTTAACCCACTGAGCCACCCAGGCATCCCTATGCATCATTATTTTTAAAAACCAAGAATTATGTGCAATCTAAATGCTTATGAGTGCAGCTAACTAAATGATGGAATAATCCGTAGAGCAGATGAGGTAGCCATGGAAACTTCTCATTAGGCATTTTATTAGCATGCTATGATGCTGAACGGGGACAAAGTTAGGATCCAAACCACACACACATACACATCTCAACCACATTAAAAATATTCTCAGGAGGGACGCCTGGGTGGCTCAGTTGGTTGGACGACTGCCTTCGGCTCAGGTCATGATCCTGGAGTCCCGGGATCGAGTCCCGCATCGGGCTCCCGGCTCCGCGGGGAGTCTGCTTCTCTCTCTGACCTTCTCCTCGCTCATGCTCTCTCTCACTGTCTCTCTCTCAAATAAATAAATAAAATCTTAAAAAAATATATATATTCTCGGGAAAAGGACAGTAAGGAAATCTCCCAGAATGCTAGGCTTGATTAACTCTGCTTAAGGGGATTTCAAATTTTCTGAACTTTTCTTCATTTTCTAGCTTTTCCACATGAATGTTTACTTTGATAATCAGAGTATTTTTGAGTTTTACACCTTTGTGTAATGGATACTTTTGTGGTCTGAACTTGTCAGTTACCATTAGGATTCTAGATGTTTAAGAATCTTCAAAATCTTTTAAGATCTTCAAATTTAGGGACGCCTGGGTGGCTCAGTTGGTTGGATGACTGCCTTCGGCTCAGGTCATGATCCCGGGGTCCCGGGATCGAGTCCCACATCGGGCTCCCAGCTCCATGCGGAGTCTGCTTCTCCCTCTGACCTTCTCCTTGCTCGTGCTCTCTCTCACTGTCTTGCTCTCAAATAAATAAATAAAATCTTTAAAAAAAAAATCTTCAAATTTAGTATCTTTAAAAGGACTTCAAAGGGATGGTCACAGTATTTGCATTCAGAGCAAAGGCAGATGAAATTGCGTAGGAGACAAAAAAATGCTAAGTTCTTTTGTGCTTGTTTGTTTTAAGTGAGAGAAAAGAATCTCAGTAGGAAACTCCAGCTGACCTGAGCCTCTTTAGAGAGTTGGGTGGGAACCTGGCTGAAAGTTCCATCTTCTTTTTTCTTGGGGAGAAGGGTATCTCCTGACTTGGGGGAAGGATGAAGGCAAAAGACATCTGGCATTCCTCAAAGGCATTGAGAGGTGGGCAAAGGCATGTTCCTTAAATCAGTAGAGAACAGCATCACCCCCTTCTCCTGTGCCTGACCCACATGTTGCTTTCAAGCCCAGCACAGTGGGTGGATAGAATTGAGTACTGAACTGTCTTGGTGGCCATTCTATCTATGGCTTTTCAAGGACAGTGACCACATCTTACTAACTTACTAACTCCCCATTCCCTAGGAGTCTGTAACTCATGGGTACTTATCAAACATTTGCTGAAGGCTTTCTAGGTGTGTTACAGCAAATCAATACCAGAAATAATAGTCTAATCCCCATCTATTTAATAAACTATGTAATACACTACACCAAGTTTAGTCTCCAGACAAGATGTATACGTTCCCAAAGAGTATGAATGACGAGGGAAGATAGTCCCCTTGGTTATCAACCAGTATTGGCCCTTAACCAACCCACCCAACACACACTATTCCCTCCCCCAGTCCCTCTCTAAAGAGCCACCTATAGTAAATGAGGCACCCCTGTCCTATGGTTCTGATGGGGCTGGCAATTCCAAGCCCCTTTTCTACCTCCATGAGCAAGCACAGGGCCAGCCGAAGCCCTCAGGGCCACAGAGACTGATGCAGGGAAGGGCACATGGACCAAGGCAGCCAACGTCCCTTCCTGGAATTTTTCAACACGCAGCTAGACAAGACAGTCTTTGCATTTAACAGACTGAACAGGGAAACCTAAGCCAGCTTCCCTCCATGACTTGAATAAATTCCTCTTTCCTACTTCAGGGTTCCATTTCTTTTCTTTTCTTTTCTTTTCTTTTCTTTAAAGATTTTATTTATTTATTTGACAGAAAGAGAGAGAGAGATTGCAAGTAGGCAGAGAGGCAGGCAGAGAGAGAGGGGAAAGCAGGCTCCCTGCTGAGTGGAGAGCTGGATGTGGGGCTTGATCCCAGGACCCTGAGATCATGACCCGAGCCGAAGGCAGAGGCTTTAACCCACTGAGCCACCCAGGCGCCCCAAGGGTTCCATTTCTTCCAGCTGAAAGAATCCTACTTTTTTTTTCCTTCTCCATTTCCCAATCTTTCTTTAATAAAGACATACAAATTTTAGTTTAGTTTAGTGAAAAATAAGTTTTGAATTTCAAAATCTCACATCCAAACTGATGCGGATCTGGGAGAGGCTGAGGAAAAGGAATGAAATCCCCCGTATAGATGACTCCTCCTTTCCCCACTGGCCTCACAGCTCATCGTTCTTTCACTGGACAGCCAAGGCTGCATTCATTTTAACACCATCGCATTTAAAGAATCCACATTTTCCCACCTCAAACAAGAGAAAGCCCTAAGCAGGCGGGGGGTGGGGGGCTGACATCTAGAAGGAAATGGAGATTGAGAAGCCGTGACTGAAGTCTGTAGAACTGGGGGAAAATGTTCATTCGAGTGCTAGAAACGTAAATTACAGAGTGAAGACGTATAATTGGTGACATCTGCTTGCGTTTAGACTGGGATCTGCTAGGTAGACGTGAACTACAAGGAAAACTGAACACAGTCACCATTTTGGACATGTACTTTATTGTATAGAAATTTCCAGCAGAGCTAGCATTAAGTACCTTTGTCAGGAGATGCCTATGGGAATCTAAGTCAGAGAACAGGGACAGGCAGGCCTGTCAGCTCTTCCTGCAAAACCACATAACACTGGGACAACCACCAGCTGGGTCTCAAGGTACGAGGTGATGGGCCACTCAAGGTACAGTCCCGCATCCCCCATGTGTGGATCTAGGTGAACAATGAAACTCTGCAGGTATAGATTTAAAGTGCGACCCCAAATGACAAATGACTTTCTTTGGCGGTACCCAATATATCACGATCAGCATTCCTCCCCTGGATGAAGTTAACCTCCTAAGCCAGCTGACCTTCTTACGTTTTTATTTATTTATTTTAAAAGCAAACCAAGTGCATACAGCGTCTTTTAAAAAGTCTTGTAAACGTTGCAAAGTTTTTAGGTGTTATTTATAATCTGAAGAGATTCATAAAAAAACTACTGGACTTGTTAAGACTACAAATACTAGCCCCCTTGTCCCCCCATGAAAAAAGCAGTTGTTACAAAAATATAAAAAATAGACTAGCTTCTACTATGTAACCTCTCCACCAGAAACCTCACAACTCTGGGGCACATTCTGCTTTTATGTACCATCCAACACGCACAAGTGCAATTTTCTCAATTTTTAAGGAAGGAAAAGTTCCAAAACATTCCCTTTGTTACTTGGGACTGTGGCTACTTTCTTCACAGGGACTATAATGCTAGCAAGTAGGGACAGTTTGCAGTTTCCTAATGCCTTCCCCTGCATGGGCCCAGCACAGAAATTTCAGCGTAGGAGGCTGCCTTCAAAGCTCATGCCTCTTCATATTCGTGTCTCTGGTGCCTTGGATTCGTTTGGGACTTTGTGGGTCCCCAGGCTCCTGAGCTGGCTTTGGCTTCCCTCACTGCCTACTGGGGAAGGCCACTGGTAGGAGGGGGCCCTAAGGGAAGGGGCTCTCAGAGAAGCCTGCTGTTCCCAGAGCCCCGACATTTGGGGAGTGCAGGTCAGCGCCCCACCCAGCTCTGCTAATGCCACGGAAGTGGCAGGCTTGGTGGAGAAAGGACTCCCCTGGCTGGAGAAAGGACTGATGCCCCAGGAGAGTATGCAGAGTCTGGGAGGGGAGCCAGCAGCAAACGTGGAGGCAAAACACTTGGCATTAAGTTAAAATAGTTTGATAAACTTCCAATTCAATGACATGTACTTGTCCACAGCAGCCAAGCTACCAGGCACTTTGGCCAATTGTGAGCTAGGAAATGGGCTGAATTCAGTTTGAAACAACAGACACTACAGGAGGGGACTGGTGGCGAGGGCTTGACTGTGTTCAAGTCCTTGAGGATGCCCCTCCCTCATCTGGAGTTTTAGTGTTTCCTTGTCCCCGCTGTCACCAACAGGGGGCGATGTGTGTAAAGGCTCAAGGGAGCCCTTGGTAGAGACTGGCTTCCGGCTAGCAGCAGGATGCATCCACACAACAGCAGACAGATCTGTCACCCGACGGGGATATTGCTGGGCTGTACACTGCATCCCCAAAGTCCAGGGAGAACTGTCAGATGGGGGTCCCAGCCTAAGCCTGCTTCACCCTCAAAGCCCTCACTACCTGCTGCTCTCTGTGCAGAGTCCTCACTACCTGCTGTGTGCTCCCAAGGGGAGACCTGGCTCAACTGGGAGCCTGGCTCACACCCACTCTTCCCCTGCAGGACCCGTCAACCTTGGCCGTAGCCCCCAGTACCTGTCACAACCTATTCTGGCACCCAGTGTAACCAGCCTGCTCCTACTTTCACCATTCTTGTCTGAGAGACAGGCCACCTGCCTGCAGGCCAGAATGGTGGGCCCTTTCTGAGCCTCCAGTGGACTTCCAGCCTCTCCTGTTTGAAGAACTAGATTTTCACACCACTAAGGGTTTTATTTCACAGATCACGGTGGTGAGTTTAGGATTTCCAGTCCTCGCCATGATTGTCATACATTCCCCACACCTTGTTTCTTCAGATCCGAAACATCTCTCGCCCAACATACCCTGGTTGTTTTAAACTCCAATGACCTTTCCAGAAGAACAACAACGGATTCAGAGAACGCCGGCCACATGTGCTGAGCAAGTCCCCTCTACTTTGGCTGCTTCAAAAAAACAGGACTTGTGAGATATCCCCAATCACACTGCTCAGAAGAGAAGTGCTCCCAACATCAAGGCACAAAGAAAGAAGTCTCTTGGGGCAGAATGACAATGAAAGCGACCAGTGACCTTTGTGAGGCCTGAGGCAGAGTCGCCAGGGAAGGCAAGTTCAGTCTGGAGTGGGTGGGCATCACGGGGAAGGCCTGACTAGCGGGTCTCCCTTTGGGCCCAAGCAGTCCTCATGCATACTTCTCTAGGAACTTTATGTGGAAGTCCTTCACCTTCTGTAGAACCGTCTTCAGCTTCTCCACCGGAGGGAGGATGGTCATTCTGTCAGGAAATAGGATAGCAGTTAGCCTGGACACAAGTTCCTCTGGAAAAAGGGAGAGGAAGGAACCCAGCAGCTCCTTCCTTCACCTGAGTTGTAGAGAGGAGGAGGTGTAGGAAAGCAGTGGGAGGGGGATGCTAGTCTTCGCTGTGAAAGCACCAGCCCCAGGACAGAACTTGTAACTTGTTGAACCACCCCCACCCCCAAATCACACGTTTTCTTTCTACCCAAGTAACACATAGGATCAAAAGCAGTAAGATGGCAGCAGAGGCTCCCTGACATGTCCACCTGTGATGGCAGGCCAGGACGACATTCTGACCGGTCCATACGACTTTCTCTAGAGAATGACTTCATTTTCCTACAGATACAGAACGAGCTGTTCCTCCTGCTAGGCAGGCCCTTTTAAAATTTTAGAGAGAGAACGAACCTCTGTCACAAGTCTCCCTCCAAAGGAACTCCCCAAGTTGCCATGGTAACTAACTCCTTCCTCTAATACTGCCATTATGCTCCCCATCCCCAAAAGACAGCCCTCTCCAGTTAACTGTTTCTTGAATGAGTCACAGCTTGCCAAGGTGAACCTAACTAGGGGGGAGAGGCGAACCACACGTCTGTCCATCCGGGGCACACAGCCCACGACCTGAGTCAGGTCTTGGTTCCAAGGTGCTAACTAAGCTCATGACATTTCTTTTTTTAGCATCTGCTGCAGGAGACATCCGAGAGCACTGTGAGTGGAGAAGGTGCTGTTCTGAATAGAAAAGGCCTTGGTGGGGAAATCCCTGCTCCCCAGGCCGCCATCCCAGCAGGGTCGGCACACACTGTGCAGTGCGGCTCAGTAAGCAAAACTCATCCCACTGTTTCAGACGCAACATCTCTGCAGACTTCTGGATGAGGTCCTGAGCACCTGGACACCGTATGCTACTGCGTGCCACTGAGAAAGGACAGGGAGATAAAACGAAACAGCCTACCAGGAGTATTTCAGATGGTACAATATAGATGGAGACGGGGCGGGCTGGGGGAGGCAAGAGTGGTCAAGCAGATGACCTTGGGATCTACCCACAGTGTTCCTGAATCCCTAGACCCAGGTCTCAGCATGGCTCTGCAGCAAGGCAGAATGGGGGTGGGCGGGGAGTCTGCAGCAGGGCTGTGAACTGCACACACTGCCATCTCTGGAGCCAGCCTGTGCTCTGCCATAAGATGCCCAAGTTTTCCAAGACCAACCTTGGACCAGCCCCATGGTGCAGAGACAGAGGTACCTGAAGTGGTAGGTGCCTTCCCTCTGCCCGAAGCCGCTGCCAGGTACGACACAGATGCCGGTCTCCTCCAGGAGCTTCATACAGTAGAACATGTCGGGGGCCATTTTATGGGCCTGTGGGAGCAGGGCAGAACTCAGGGTTCGTGTATGGCTTTGTAAAACACACCACTGAACACCCGAAGGCAAGTAACCACTGCAGCGGCAGGCTCTCCCCCACAGCGGGGCCCTTCTCCCCTCCCCGCAAGGATCGAGGCAGGACAGTGGACGTGGCCGGAAGCAGGTGCAAGGAACAAGGAAGCTGAAGCCTACTTCAGGATGGCCACAGGCGATGGTACTTCTGTTCCTCGCCCGGGACTGACACTTTCTTTCCTTTGGGCCCCACACCCTGGCCGCAGGATTTGGCGGCTCCTATATGCTGAGCACATACGCCTCTGATGACGAGGCCCCGAGCGCTGCGCCCAGGGTGGCTTTCAGAGATCAGCTCCACAGGGACTTTGTTCACAGAGCTTCTCCCCTCTGGTCTGGACAACCTGCGGTACCTGCTGAATGGGTTCCTGGGCTCCAGCACCTGGGATTCTGACTCAGTAGGGCTGAGTGGGGGAGGGCCCAGATTCTGAATGTTTAGTGGGTACTGAGGAGGTCTGGGGGCCATGAGGACAACACTTCCAGAAATACTGCAATACCCTGCAAACCACGGGAGACTGTGGAATCTGAGAAACAAACTGAGGGTTTGGGAGGGGAAGCAGGGGGGATGGATGAGCCTGGTGGTGGGCATTAAGGAGGGCATGTATTGCGTGGAGCACTGGGTGTGGTGCACAAACAATGAATCTTGGAACACTGAAAAAATAAAATAAAGTTAAAAATATATATATTGCTCTGTCCCTTGATCCTCAAAGTACGGTCTGTGGCATGGCCTGAAAATGCTGCACACACAGAATCCCGGGCCCTCCGCAGACTTCCTGCGCCAGCACTGGCACTGTAACAAGCCCCCCAGGTGATTTTGTGTTCACATTCCAGTTTGGACACGTGCTGCCCTAGGGCAGTCGCTGCACAGAGCAGAAGCTGTCATGGCTTCTTCATCGTTAAATGCATCACGTCACACGTGGGGCACCTGCCTTCTTAACACTGGAGTTCAGAGAGCCCAGATCCGCTGGGTCTGCCCGCCTGGGGCTGACCTCACCTCTGCCCCTTACCACAGCATGCTGCAGGGCTGGGCTTCCGAGAGCCTGCCATCTTTATGCTGTATGCACCAGCTGGTAGAACAGTCTGTAATATTCCAAGTCCCCAGAGCCAGCACTTTTGCTCCCTGAGACAAGAACAGCCCCCAACCCAGCAATTCCAAGCAAACTCAAGTGTGCCCCAGCCCAGCACCGCAGACCTGAGCTGCCTCCACGGCTTTGCTGGGGATGAAGATCTGAGGAAAGGCGTACATAGCTCCCTGCAAGGGGTTGCAATGAATTCCCGGGACTTGGTTAAACAGGTCTTCCGTCAGCTTAGCCTTTTTGGCCAGATTACCCAGCACAGACTCTTTCTCCTGAGGAGACACAGAAAACACAGGAGTCAGAATATCTCTGGGTATCGTGGAATGGCTCCAGCCACTAGAAATGGTCCCTTCAATGCGGGGGCAACGGAGCAGCAGGGTGAAAAGTGAGCTCGTGTGTGCATGAACATAGCAAACCAGGGAGGTGGGCAAAACACATCCATCTCCAGGAACTTCTTCCCTGGGTGCTCAGCCCCGAAGGCTGCCCACAGCCCCAGGGCCCACAAAGCACCCAAGTACAGGGGGTTCTAGGCAATAGGTAGATCCTACATAGGTTGTGTCATGGCTTCTGTTCCTGTATAGGAGGTCCTTCCTGAAAACAAGAAAACCCCATCCCAGCCCAGAAGTGTGAATGGACTTGGCCTTGGATGGAATGCTCTAGAACATGCTTCTAGGAGATGGCCCAAACTCTTTATTTGGGCGCCATTCTCAATCTGTGTGGTGTGCATAGGGCATGTGACCCAGGCAAAGCAAATCAGTGACTGGCTCAGAGGTGAACCATTTCCAGGACTGTTGCTGCACCGGGGCATGAAGCTGTGGCCTGCGGGTGAATGAAACATGGTCCACACATACAAGGGAGTATCATTCAGCCTTTAAAGGGAAGCAAATTCTCACATGCTATGACACAGATGTACCTTGAGGGCATTACGCTGAGTGACATAAACCAGTCACAAAAAGACAAATATTGTATGGGTCCTCTGAGACGAGGTACCTAGAAGAGTCCCAGTCATAGAAACAGAAAGCAGAACTGAGGTTAGCAGGGGCTGGGGGGACAGGGAAATGGGGAGTTGGTGTTCAATGGAGACAGAGTTTCAGTTTGGGATGAGGAAAAGGTTCTGGGGATCAACAGTGGTGACGGCTGTACAGCAGTGTAAATGGATTTTATGTACTAAACTGTTCAGCTAAAAATGGTTAAAATGGTAAATTTTACATTCTATGTATTTTACCACATTTTAAAATAATGTGAGCCTGGAACAGCTGGGAACCGACTTTTGGTTACATGACCCACACATTTTGTTTAAACTAGCTGGCTGGGTTTTTTTCTCTTGCAGCTCAAAGGATCTGAGTGGATCACTTCGAACTGCAAGGACAGCGGTTAGGCCAAAGGCAGGCCTATGGCCTGGAAGCAATGCCAGGCCCATCATTTCTTCTTTTCGGTTTAGTTAACAGAAGCCCCTGCCCAGGTTTCTCACGACGCAAGGCCTTTCCCTCGGGGTGTCGGCCTGCCCGTGTCCACGTGCTCACAGGTGACAAAGAAGAGGTCCTCCATTTCAGAGCATCTTCACACGTTTTAATTAACCTGGTTCAGGTGCAAGAGGAGCCATGAGTGCCCCCGGGAGGCCATCTGGAGAGAGGCTGGCCATGGTGACCCAGAGTCCAACGCGAATGCTCAGGACCCCAGCTGTGGCAGTGACACAGAGGGGCCACAGGACACGGCGACTCACCCTGTGGAACTGCTCGAAGGATTCTTCTCCAGGCACTGGGGGGTTCACGACGATGTCCATGGCAGCCTGCCCGGACACTGGCGGGCACAGCCGCACGGAGAGCAGCTTCACCAGCTGGCCTTTGATCTCAGGATGCAGGTTGATCACCTCCATGTAGCCTCCTCTGTAGCCACACCTGCAGGGTTGAAGAAGGGAGAAGGATCCACCAGTCACAGAGAGGCCTCAACTACGGGCAGTCGGTCAGCCAGAAGGTTCTGTAAGCATCCCCATGCCTAACACTGAGTGGCCAGGTGTGGCTGAGTTCTTGGCAATGGAAGGTGAACGCCAGTGACATGGGCAAAGTCCATATCACTTCCTTATAAGGAAAAAGCATGCTCTCCCCTCTTTTTTCTTGCTTTTTTCCCACGTCCGGAGACATGGAGATGCTAGAGGAGCAGCCTCAGTCTGGAGATGCCGCATGTAGACAAGGCAGAGGCCTCCGTGAATGACCTCAAGGTCAGCCTGGCCTGACCTCCCCTGCCTTTGGGCTATTACGTCACAGACAAATACACTTTCACCTTGTTTTAGCCCCTGTACTTAGGGGCCTCTTTGTTAAAGCAGCTCCGCCTGAGGCCTAGCTAATACAACAGCCCACTATTCAGGCCCACACTGGCTCCAGGGGCGGGTCCAGATTCACTGGGGCCATGATCAGAGCCTGAAGACTTCTGGGGGAACCTCCTGCTGCCTGAAAACAAAGTCAACCCAAAGGACAGCAGAGCGGAGAAAGACAATGAGACCAAGCAAGAGATCAGAGACCAGGCCCATCGGCATCTTCAAGACTCATGGCTTCTCGCCAACATTATTTAAAAAAAAAAGAAAAAGCCTCTTTGGTATAGGTCAGTTTGAGTGGACTTTCCATTAGTTGTCACAAGAATCCTGACTGATACAGAGTCAAGTCACATGAATGGGAGCGGAGATAGGCACTGAGTTAAAAAAAAAAACAAAAAACCTTTCAGAACGAACTCAGCCCAAGCAGTCACACCTTCCAGAGCCATGCCCCCTCTTCTGGCCTGTGATGGGTAAGTTCAGACGAATGACCACAGAAATGCAGACTCCCTGAGGCAGGAACCTAGTTTCACCCTCCTCTGTATACCCAACACCCTCAGCCTCAGAGCTCCTGACCCAACGGAGACACTCAGTAAAATGCCACTGGAATCAGCCTGCAGAACTGACCCGGCAAAGGCAAGTTCCCATCTCAGCTCTCAGCTGCGTCTTTGGAAGCAAGAAGATAAATTCTGGAATCTCAGAGAGGTTTGCCCTAACAGAGGCTGAAAGAAAGAACTTCCTGCCTAATCCTCGGCTGACGAGCAGAAAATCCACTTGAGAAGAGCAGTCTAATCTCAGGTGAGCAGATCTGAGGACTGCAGGGCCTAACTCAGGATGCCTACGTCCAGGAGACTGTTAAAAGGGTAATCAATAACACAGACGGACAGATGGCTAGTTATGTGATAAAAAGACTGGAGCGTGAAAAATGAGTTCACAGAGAACAGACTTTTTTAGGAAAAGAGCTACATAGCACATGAGTCTAGCAAAGATAAAGCACTGCTAGGACATGGACCAGAAGACCAGCATGAATTAACCCCTGCCCACATCAAATAAAGCCAGCTCGGCGGTCATCCCAAAGGTACATACAGCTCCCACCATCTGGCCAAAATATTTTTCTCAGCTTCACAGTTCCACTGGCTTCCAGCTTAACAAGGGAGACCCCTCCCCCATCCTTACACCTGGTGCATAAAAGAACCCTCCTCCACCAGTGGGGCGGGGGCATGAATGCCCTAGTCTTCCCTTCTCAGCGCTTTTGCAGTTTCCCCCTTTCTCCCCCACCTTCTGAGCAGTGAGGGCCTAGATTAGTCCCTAGACCTCCTGTCTATCTACACTCCCTCCCTGTGGGATGTCCAGGCTCAGAGATCTAACAACGCACTCACCCCATCTCCCAAACTTCAATCAGCAGGCTATTGGCCCTGAGCTGGGGACTCACACATCCATCTCTACCTGGACATCCAATGGGCATTTGAAAATTTAACAGATCAAAAAAACAACTCCCCATCTTTCCCCCAAATCTGCTTCAGCCACAGCCTTCCTCATCCACTGATGGCAACTCCATCTTCCCTGTTGTTTGGATAATAAAAAACTTGGGAATGAAACTTGCCTCCTCTCTCACAATCGTCTTTTCCATCAAATCCACTCCACCTTCAAACACATCAGGACCCAGGGTCTCCCCTGCCTCTCTGTCCTGGCCCACAGTACCTCACCTGGCTGCAAGTCTCTGTTCCTGCCTCTACGACACAGCAACCAGACAGCGTTTAGTAAAACGTTCAGTCAGGTGAGTTCACACCCTGCTCTCATCTTCCAAGGGCTCCCATCCTGCCCAGTGATCTGGACTCCCAGGACTTCTTTGGTCTCAACAACTGCCACTTTCCCCCTCATGCACTGCTTTTCAGCCCCATTTCCCTGAACATTCCAGGCACGTCTCAGGGTTAAAGCACACGCTGTTCCCTCTCTTAGAACGCTCCTCCCTCAGATACCTGCACAGCTCCCTCCTTCCTCCTCAGCGACCCTGCCCCTACCACCTGGCACTCCCATTTCTTCGGTTTTTGTCCACCTGACACATGACTTTACTTGTCTACTGCCTCTCTCTCTTCACTAGGCCCTAGGTGTTTGCTGGCTGCTGTCCCCTCAGGGCCGAGATCAGTATAGGACTCACAGCAGGTCATCCGTAAGCATTAGCTGGATGAACCACGACAGGAGTGAAGCAGACTCTGCCCCCAGTGCTAGGGTGGGGGGCACAGACAGCTTGCTTCCCTGGCCTCATGGCATTCACACACTTAACCTGCCTTCCCAGGCCACTCAAGATTTCAATGCTGGAGCCACAGCCACAGGGCTGGCAGAAAACACTAGCACCGGAAGCTGTTGTAGGCCCGGCTTTCATCTGCATCATTTACTGTGCTCAAGTTTCTTTCAAGCAGGACCCTATTTTTTAAGAACCTCTCTGCACAAGGGCCGTCCTCACACCACAGGGCTCTCCCGGGTGGGGAGATGTGGCCTGACTCCTTCCTGCTTCTTGGATCAGCAGAGGCTGTCGTAAGGGCGTTCACTGGCTGTGGGGCAGGGCTGAGCAGCGCTGGTACGGGGCAGGCCCAGAGGCAGCGGGAGGGTGGTGGAAGCCGACGTACTCGCCCATGTAGCCCTTGGAGGTAGAGTGGAAGGATGCAAGCTCCACGTTGCTGGAGTACTCGGGCCCCATCTCGTAAAGCACCTTCTTAAAGGAGTGGAATCTGCAGTCTGGAGAGTACACGTTGTCCTGGTACACCTGGGGGAGAGGACAGGACAAGGACAGTCACCCAATTTCCCCAAGAGGCCTGAGCCCATGCAGGCTGCCAACCAGGGAGGGCACGGGTGCTCAGGCTCAGCCTAGTATGCTATGAAGCCCAACCTCTGATGCTATTTCCAAAACGAGCCATACCAAAGGAACCTTCCAGAACACGTCAGGAGGAAAGGCTTTGGGCTGTGTGTCCATTTGATTTCTCCCATTCACCCACACTCAACTCCACCCAACCTCCAGACCTTTCTCCCTCATCTGACCTATGATGGCGTCAGGGACTCCTATCAGCCCAAGCAAGTTTTCTCCCTCAATGTTTACCCTCTTTCCATAAGACTAATAATGAAAGCAGTTCATGTAGCTGTCCTCTGACCCTGTCCCCACTTGAAGAGCCGATGTGTTGCTCTCTTGCCCATCATGCCCACATGCTCATTTGGAACCATTCTGTTTTTTCTGTCCGTCTCACCGCCAGCCTTCAAGACTGTACACATGAGCGACGCCCACGCATACTTCCTTCCTGTCCATATAGTCTACCTTCAGCAGGCAAGCACCCTGCTCTGCCCTTGGAGATGAGCTTCCCACACTCATGTTGGAGCTTAGGGAACTGAGGCTTTCGGGGACCCTGTGGGCCCACAGGGAGTCAGCCCAGCTCCACCTTCAACAAGCTAGGCACAGCCCTCCTTCTCTTCCTCCCCTCACCCCTTCCCACAGCGGAAGGGGAGGAGGTCTGCACACCGCACCAAGGTCACTCTGCTGCCCCTTCTCTCCTTCAGAAATGAAGATCTTTAACACCTGATACTAATATAACCCCGTATGTTAACTATACTGGAATTAAAAACAAAACAAAACTTTAGACCCATCTGCTAATCATGGCAACCATTCAGTGGATAAGCTGTGAGTGTGAGTGTGTGTATGCACGTGGGGGTTGGAGAGTGTTGGGGGTTGCAGAGTGTTCCTCTAGTGAGGAAAGAAATGAAACCAATGTGGTAAAAGCTACCACTGACCAGAAATTATGCATAAGTGAAGAAACGAAAATGGAATTTGACAAGCCTGAGTTTCTTCCTCACAAAACAGGAAAAGAATGGGCAGCCTCGGCTCCACAACTGGGGTTTGGAGGAGCAGCAATCATGAAATCAAGATTCCCCTCCCCCCCAACAGGCTGCTATAAATGGGATGGTAAACACAGAAGCACACGCAGACACACGAATGCAGCAGTATGCCCACCCAGCATCCACTCTCCCCTCCAGAGAGTCCCTCCACTTGCCCTCAGGAAGACCACTCCCCCGGTCTCAGAGGCAGAGACCTCACCCCTTGCCTGGGGCCTGGTCAGTTTGCATATTGCAACCACTGGCCAAAGTGACCGGTTCAGCGTGGGGTGTGTGACCCAAGCTGCACCAATGAGGCTCGATTCTGAGACTTTTGTGGGAATCACCAGGAGGAAATGCTCTTTCTAGGCTGGGAAGAAATCAGGGTTATGTGTGAAGCCAACAAGGAAGGCAAGAGAATCTGATATAGGGTTTGAGCCCCGGGACTTAACACATACCTGTTATCTCTACCATCCTTTTTAAGTTTAATATGGTTTGGGTTAACTTTCTGAAGTTTATAACCAAAGACCCAAACCAATATAGAGATGATTTAGATCACAGTCTCATAGGCTGGCACATCCTCACCCTTGGTGAGAGTCACTCCTCCAACACCTAGAAAGTTCTCTCTGGCTACACAAGAGTCAAGTCTGGCTCCCTTCCCTTAGAAGAGAAAGCTCAGCCTCACTCCCCACAGAGGAGAACGCTGAGCAACTCTTACCTCGTCAGCCAGGAGAAAGAGCTTCTCTTCCCAGGCAAAGTGAATCACATCTTCTATGCACTTTCTGCTTTGTACCTGACCTAAAAAAAATCCCCAACAAAACCAGAATGCAGCTTGTAATGCTGTTTAAATTGTCCCTTGGAATGAACCCCACCAAGAATCACTCAGGTGTTCTGTGTTCCCACATGACCCTTTGGGATCACCCTCCCTAGTTACTGCCCCTGACAGGGCGTAGTCAACCTCTAGGGACCCCGAGTGTTGGCCCCACCTGTCTGACTCACTTAAGCCAGGCACATGGAGGGAGACGTGTTTCACACTCAACTTGGGAGGGGTATGTGTGTGTGTATGGGGGGGAATGTCTGTCTGGGCTAGAGCCCAGAACAGGCAAACAAACCTGAAGGGTTCAGTGAATCAGCTCTGCGGCCCCCACTCCTTACCACACACCAACAGCAGCCAATGGAGAGATCACACTGGCTGATGGAGAGTTCCCACAACGTCTCAAAGAGGCATACACAAGCTCCGTGAGTCAGGACAAGGTCTGTGCGGCTCATCGGCTTCCTTAAAGCCAATACTCAGCAGGTGCTCAGGAAGTATTTGCAGAGTGTGTGCTGAACGAAGCAGCCTGAGCACCAGCTCTGGGGTCTCCTGTCAGGGGCCACGTGGGAGCTATGCATTGCTGACTGAGGACGGGGAGCACGTGGCAGTCCTCCCTTCGAGGTCTCCCCTGGAGGACTTGACTCAACATGAACAGTGGAAACTAAACCCCCCCCCATGTTACAGAAATGAGTACAAAAAGCCAAACGGTCCTCTCCCAGTTCACAGGAAATACCGCGGGTTGAGGTGGGGAAGGGACAAATGCTGCAAGGTGGAAATGGTCTGAAACTTTCTCCTATTTCCTGACACCGACTACTGGTGTGGCAGTGGGAGTGTGACAGTTGCTCCCATACCCTGCAGGGAACAACTCTACAGTCAAGCTTGCTGACTACTTACCAAAGAAGGCTACTTCCTTACTATGCATGTATGTGAACCTATGGATATTACTTGTAACTATGTGCATATGTATGTGTGTGTCTAATATGCACATTATTTATATGCATGTATGTACCTTGATGCAGAGCAATACGTAGATTATGTTACATTTTTGTTAAAAATAAAAACACTGGGGTGCCTGGGTGGCTCAGTGGGTTATGCCTCTGCCTTCAGCTTGGGTCATGATCTCAGGGTGCTGGGATCGAGCCCTGATCGGGCTCCCTGCTCAGCAGGGAACCCGCTTCCACCCCTCCCCCGACTGCTTCTATGCCTACTTGTGATCTCTTTCAAATAAATAAATAAAATCTTTAAAAAGTAAAAATAAAAATACCTACAGTCTTCCCTGTATGAGAATATTAAGAACATGTTTGGAAAAAAGTTGTGTCTTACGAGAGAACGGTTTGATTCAACCCGATCTCAGCTCTGAACTATCAAACAATGAATCAATTCCTTTCCCAAAGGTTCAACTCTCCTCTTGCCAAACAAATGCCAAACCGGGCTTCCTATGAAGCTCAGCATTCTGGGATTCCGGAAAGGCAGCGGCCCTGGATTGTACAAGGAACCAGCCACTGTTCCCACAGACTGACAGGTGGTGGCTACCTGGGGGGGCTGGGCCTGCCTGCCAACCCTGCGGAGCTTGCCTCTGATCCCACAGAGTATCCTATAAGCGGAGAGGGGCGCCTGGGTGGCTCAGTGGGTTAAAGTCTCTGCCTTCGGCTCGGGTCATGATCCCAGAGTCCTAGGATCAAGCCCTGCATCGGGCTCTCTGCTTGGCGGGGAGCCTGCTTCCTCCTCTCTCTCTCTGCCTGCCTCTCTGCCTACTTGTGATCTCTCTGTCAAATAAATAAATAAAATGTTTAAAAAAAAAAAAAAAAGAAAGAAAGCAAGTGGAGATCTGAGCAGCAAGAACATCAAAACCACAGGCACATAGTGCCAAGGAGCGTGAAAAGAGGAACTAAGTAAGTACCAGGGCCTCATAAAGACCCACTATATGCAAGTAATTTCACTGAGGTGTGCAGTGCAGACCTGAGGACAAGGACAGCTTGTTTCTCTGCAGTGCCTGGGAGTCACTCAGAACATGCCCCAGAGCCAGCGGCTGGTTAGACACATGTGGTGGTGTCTAAGGGACCAGGACACAGCTGTGCCCAGCAGGGGGAGCCATGAGGCCACCTTACAGAAGGGATGGCTTGGACACAGAAAGGCTGGAGAGGGTCTTCCAGGTGCCTCTCACTAGAGGCTGAGCCAAACCAAAGCCAATTCCCCAAACCTAATGAGAAAATCTGTTGTTTGAGCCTGCCCAGGGTCCTTCTGTTCTTTGAGTAACAGAGCTCAGCTGTTCTACAGGGAATTGCCTCTCTCTGCACTCCAGCAGGGGCATGGGACACATACATGGCCAGAATCTTGGTGATTTGAGTGGTTCAGGAAGGGCAGGTGAACCTACTTGGGCCAAAGAGAACCTGGCCTGGAATTTTTGTTTTAAAACTTTGGGCAAGGCTCTCCGGGGAGGTCGCTCAGCAGGCAGACCAGGGCTAGAGCTGCTGAAGGTCACTCCAAGGACAGAGACTTCCTGGGAAGGACTCCTACCCAGACCTGGGGAAGGGATCGAGGTTCCTAGGGCAAGGATGCTGATTCAGGTGGACTGCTTTACCCCTGGTCTTTACAGTTCTAGGACCCAAACCCTTCAGCCTTGAGCTACATTTCTGTCTTAAAACTCAGAGTCCTGGCTTATTATCCCACTCCATCTTGACACCTTTCAGCCCAAGTGGTCACAGCGTGTGGTCCAGACAAGATACCCGGCTATCTCAGGTAGGTTTCTATTTTCCATCCCCCATCTTCCAAGAGCTGACTGGTCTTTCACACATTTAGAACCCAGAGAGCAAAACCAGCCTCTGCCCATTCATGAAGTTACTCTTTAAAAATTACTCATATTAATATACATTCACATGATCCCTTTACCTAAAATAATAAAGTCTTTAATGAAAATATTTCTTCCCAGACAGCCAGCTGATATAGTAAATGCCTGGCTACAAAGTTACCGACCCTCTAATAGAAACTAGGCATACAGAGTATTTCCCAAAATATAGGACCTGCTAACCCAAGTTTGGACCAGTAGCATCAGCATCACCTGGGAGCTCATTTAGAAAAACAAATTCTCAAGCCGCAGCCCTGCCTGATAACATCAGAGTACCTTGGAGAGGGGTCCAGCAGTTTGTTTTTTAACAAGCTACAGTCTGAGAACCACTGTCCCAGGGTAGTGGTTCTCATGCAAGGCACAGGGAATACTGACTGATGGGGGGTGGGGCCGCGGGGGGGCGGTGCATGCCCAGAGACTCTGGCAGGCAGCCCTGCCTTTGGCATTTTTTAAAAGCTCCCTTTGTGATTCTAATGTGCAACCTCAATAGAGAGCCCAGCTGTAGTCATTTTCCTTCCTCCCGCATTCTGGTTAGACTGCGCCCCTACCCCCAGGGAGCTGATGTACATAAATGAGTGTCCCAGCCAGCCGCACCCATTTTCTGCACTCTGGAATTCATGTGCTGCTTTCAGCTGATTGAAGCATCATTTGATGTTCCAAAGAAGCAGACTCCACAATCAACTCCAACGCGATTTGGCCCTGACCCAATTTATCTCAACAAAGGAGGAGAGAGCAGCCCTTGTTCTCAGCATCCAAATAGCAGTGGGGGCAAATGAAGCCAGTGGCCCAGAAAGATCAAACCAGGGAGGGCTGGGCGTTTGGTGGGGGTTTTCGTTTTTGTTTTTAAATATATAAAAATAGGAGTGCTTTTCGACTTCTGGAAGCAGGGTGTTTCAGATTGTTTGCTGTCGTTTTTAACAAGGCATTTCCTCCTCAAGTCTCAAAGTACACAAGTAACGCTGTGTCAAAGAAAACAAAAACGCACACACCAGCATTCTGACGACTGGTTCAGCAAAACAACTAGGAGTAAAGGTAAAGTGAGGCCTGTGATTAATGGGGACAGGCTGTGCATAATTAACCTCAAGGAGAGTCTTGGCAAATGCAAGAAAGCTGGGAGCAGAGAGAACATCACATTAACTCTTTAGTGACCAGACATGTAGGACACCAGCTGCCCTGCCCCTACCGCCCAAGAAACTGGCAAAGAAGTGGGGCACAGACCTGTGGGGTTCCCAGGGTTGATGATACACAGCACCTTGGGGTCACAGTGGTCTTTGGCCTCCTGCACAGCCCGCCGGAGCTCATTCACATTTAGGGCCCAGCAGTTCTCCTCATCCAGATAATAGTTCACCTGGATGGCATCGAGCTCAGAGATGACGGCCGAGTAAAGGGGGTACTGTGGGATGGGGATCATCACACCGGTCCGTGACTTGCCACCCCCAGACACCAGGATCTTCAGGATTGTCTGCAACAGAAAAGTCACGGCTTCCAGGAACACTGCCCATCTCCACCCTTTGGGGGCTGCCAGGAAGACTCCCCCAGAAGCCCCAACCCTTTTACCAGCCACCCCGCTGCCTGCCTTCAGTGCAGCCCCATGTGAGCTGCTTGACTTCCCTGAGTCTCGCTGCCCCCCATCTTTAAAACGAGGTCTGCTGTGAGGAGTAAGCAAAATGAAATGCTTTCAAGTTCTTAACACGGTAGTTAAAACACTCAATGCCTATGTTTTTTGAAGAGGCCTTTTGAAACAGTAGTCCACAAACCGGCCCTGTCTTTGCCCTTAAGTTCATTCCGTATGTCCTGGAAGGGAGGAGGGCTAGCAATCTGTCTTGTTAGTAATTACTGGTGCCCACCGCTGGGCAGACCCTGAACAAGGAAGGGATTGTCGAATCAGGATAAAATACCTATGTACTACCACCAGGTGGCGCTTCAACCTGGTTGTTTCCAGGGCCGTGTGGCTCAAGGTTTGCAGGACTCCTGAGAAACCAGGCCACCTGAACCCCATGGGGATACGGGTGGAGGTGGCAATAACTGACTGCAAACCCTGTTCTGGAAGAGTTCCCACCTTACACACAGGCCAGTTCCTCGCTGCAAGAATGCCACTGGACTCAGAAGCTCAACAACTTGATTCTTTTCACAAAATCCTGAGGAAACCTCCTTCGGCTGCTCTAGGACCTCTGCGTGTATGTGGGCTTCTCTGGGAATTGAGAGGCCTTGACAGCACAACACAGTGGAAGATGTGACGGTTGGAGACCTGAGCCCCAACACTGGAACCCCAACTGTCACAAGAGGCTGACTTAAAGACGGCAGAGCATTTAATGTTGCTGGGCCCGTTTCCTGGGCTCCAGTAAGAGCTGAATGCATCTGAAAGGATTAAAGCACTCAACGAACAGGAGAACCAAGAGCCTTGGAGGTCAAAAGACCAAGATGACCCCATCAAAGGAAGGGTCTGCACACACTCCCTGAGGAGAAAAAATAAAGGAATTGAAGGCACCAGCACTGATGAGGCTTAGGAAGGAGCATGCTTCAGAGGATTCCAAGACCACAGCTCCCTCAGACTGGGGACTTCAGAGCCCTTCTGCTAAGCACACTTTGACAACAGTCCCTCTTCACCCCGCCCACAGCTGATCCCCAGCCCAAGCCACCTCCTCCCTCATCTCCTAAACACTCCCTCACATCCATCATCCCCTTTCCAGCCGAAGTTAAAACTTAACATAAATCTAATTATCCCCTATCCATCTGTCTCTCCCCCCACCTTCAAATGCTTCAATGGACATTGTTCTTAGGACAATGACCTAAATCCTCAGCATGACCACTAAGGCCCTGTAGGACTCAGGCCCCGGCTGCCTCTCTAGACCACGTCTGGAAACTCTGGCCCTTGCTACATGTGCTCATTCACTCTGACTCTCCTTCTGCAAATGCACAGCCTCTTTCCAGCTCACAGCCTCTGCACATGTTGACCTTCTGTTCAGAACACACTCTGTCCCCTGCCTCCCCGTTCATGCCTACATATCCCCCAGATCTCTGCTCAGTCATCCTTTGAGAAGAAACCTTTCTGCTCCCCACAACCACCCCCACCCCCTGCTGCTCCTCCTGGGGCACTCTGTCCTCTTCACCCAGAAGAGAAACTGAAAGCTTGTGATATGACATTTATTTATGTGATATCAATGCTGGTCTGATCAGGCACTAGGGTGTAAGCAGAGGCCAAGTGTGTTCGGTTCCCACGGTCTCCCAAGCACCTGGTACAGCACCTTGCAGAGGAGGAACACCAGTAGGAACTAAGCGAGAGAAAGGCCAATGCCACCAGAAAGACAGGCACCCTCGAGTGCCCATGGCTCCTCTCCAGCTGGACCTGCAGAGAGCCAACCCCTCCTCCCAGGCCTGTTTCTCCCTTCTGGCACAGGCTCACATCCTTGTCCTTAACTAGGAAGGCTATTCTTCACGGGGTAAACACTGGAGAGCGAGCCACCCTCACACGTACAGAAATGCCATCACTGGCTCCTGTGGTCAGGTAAATGTTGTCCGGGTCTGCAGGCACACCGCCATCTCTCCTGGTGATGTAGGCAGCCACGTCTTCACGGATGCAATTGACGCCCTGGCTAGCACTGTAAGACCCTGTAAGACAGCAAGCAAGATAGTCACTAGAGGCAGGATGACTGGCTCTATGGAGTTGGCGACACCCATGTAATTACCTGGGGTGGGGACAGGGGGGTGGGAGGGGTTTTAGGACCCAACTCCCACTATTCTAGGTTGTGGAATCATGGCACACTGCTTAACCACCTATCCATCCACCCATCCACTCATCTGCTATCTATGCATTCGTCTACCTGCCCATCCACCAGTCTACCCACCTACCCATTCACACACTCAGTATTCACAGAGAAGCTGTTAGACGTCAAGCATTACTCCAGGTCCTGGCTTCCAATCATTCAAATGTGCCCATACCTGTTTTATCCACCCTCCTGGGGTTTATACACATTCTGTTAACATGTAAATCGCTACTGCTAGACTTGCTGTGTCTTTATCACTGCTGCCCGCACAGGCTCCCACGAAGCCTGTGGGAAGGCAAGAGCCTTCTGCAGCACTGCACAAGTTCTGTGTCATGATCTGGTGAGGGTTACACAGGTGTGTACATGTGCAAAAACTATCCAAGCTGTACACTAATATTGGTTCATTTTATTATAGGTTTGTTAATATCTCTATAAAGAGTGTTGTGTTTGTTTGTTTGTTTGTTTTAATGTCAGGCCACTATTTTTAGGAAGAATTTGAGTATATATACTTGTGCAGGCACATCTGGTAGGAGTCCCAAAGTGGTGAGGGTGAGCTCTCTGGGGAAGTGAAGGGGAGGCCAGGGGTCAAAGCTGGGAGGCCAACTTTTCACTCTATATCCTTTGACACTGTTTGAATTTTATGCCACATTTAAAGAGATCCAGCCTATTCCTTCTAAGACTACTACAAACCCAACACCAGGAGGCTTAGGGCTTCAGTGAGTATCAGTCTAGGCCCTGTACCCTGGAAGCCCTCATTTGTCTCAACGTCTGTGCATCACTGGGCTCAGCCTTCCCTTCTGACCAGCTGCTAAAATGGAGAGGGAAGGGAGGGGAGCTTAGACTAATTCTCTAAGGTCCCACGGGCAAACATGAACATGAATCAAGTCTCGGTGGTGGGTTCAAGGTCTCTTGTTACATTATTTGGAGTATTCTAATGCATCTGAAATATTCTGCAAATTAAAATAATGGAGAGGTACAAATGCTGGTATTAGAGAATCCCTCTTCTACGGAGTGACTGACTTGATTATTTCTGAGCTCCCATACTCAGAAACCTTTCCCTCTGCCTTCTCTCAATGCCCTCGCTTCTAGTCCATGGGGCCTGTCCATTCCCACACCAGCCAAGCCTTCCCTTTTTCTTGCCTCTAGCTCACCCACCTTCCACCCTTTCCTTCAGCCTTTCTGTTATGCTCCAAACCACACTGGTCTGTCAAAGCACAACTCTAGTCTCTCTCGGGGCCTGTCATGAAGATACCCACCCATACTGAGCCTCTCTCCTGACCTGCATTTTCTCCAGTTATTTACTGTAGACACATGAAGCCTGCCTCCCCATGCTGAATGTATGTTCCTTGAGGGCAGGGGCCATTACCTATTTCTTCTGTGCATCTCTGCTAGAACACCTATCCCCCTGCCTGGCCCACCCCACTACACCCCTGCTTAGGACCCACTGCCCTCAGACAGATGGCAACCTGCCTCCCAGGGCCTACAAACCTCCATCATCACCACCGCCCAACTTCCCAGCTCCATCACACTGCCCCATCCAGACCTCTTCACTTGATCACACTCAGTTCTCAAACCTCAGGGCCTTGGCACAAAACAGTTCTTCTGTCTGGCATGCATTCGCAGGTTCTCTATTACTCACCATCCCCATGAATTTGAATCATATTTGCTGCTTAAACCCTCCCTCTACATTAGAATCCCTAGTTACAGACCCATAGCATAGCTCTTCTGCTTTTTCTCTAAGAACTCATGAAAACTAGAAATTAGTTTTTGTGTGAATTCTTTTTAATGTTTGTTTCTCCCAAATCTGATCATGAACTTTTGTGAGCATAGAAATTCCATCCACCTGGTTCACCAGTGTCCCTCAGGGCCTAGAGCGATGCTCCGGTGCTCCGGGAGGGCTAGATAAGGACCTGCACCTCCCTGGACGTCTAGATTCCACCTTAATCCTATTAAGATCCAAGATACAACCTGAGAACTGAATTACTCCTCAAATAGAAAATGAGGAACTCTACGAAGAATTTTAGGGACGGCTGGGTGGGTCAGCTGGTTGAGCATCTGACTCCTGATTTTGGCTCAGGTCATAATCTCAGGGTTGTGAGACTGAGGTCCAAGTCCAGCTCTGTGCACAAAAAATACCCAGTCTGCATGAGATTATCTCTCCTTCTTCCTTTGCCCCTCCCCATACTTGTGCATGCTCTTTCTCATATAAATAAATCAATCTTAAATTTTAAAAAAGTCATTTTATTTTTTTAAGGATTTTATTTATTTATTTGACAGAGAAATCACAAGTAGGCAGAGAGGCAGAGAGAGAGAGGGGAAAGCAGGCCCCCTGCTGCAGAGAGCCCCATGTGGGGCTCGATCCCAGGACCCTGAGATCATGACCTGAGCCGACGGAAGAGGCTTAACTTAAACGGCTTAACCTTAACCCGAAGGAAGAGCCACCCAGGCGCCCAAAAAAAGTCATTTTAAAGGGCACAATTAAAACACATCCAGATGAGCTCTAAGACCTTGTTATGTATTTAATAATCCCGACCTGGGTCAGGGCTGTCCTGGGCACACTGACATTTTCTATTTCCCTTACTTCTGTGGGCTGGTAGGCTTAGTTGACAGAACACCTCCCCCAGGATGACACTGCCCTACCTCTTGCAATGGGCAGGGACTGGTGGTGACCCCCAAGGACAGGGCCTCTCCACACCTGACAAGGGGCTTTAGCACATACATCCACCTCCTTCAAAAGCCCAGGAGCTGAGTAGAGTACTTCCTAGCTCAAGGAGGAGGAGAGAGGCTCAGGGAGTACCCACCTCACCTATCCTCATAGGGTCCTCAGAACTCAGTGCAAGTCCCCAAAACCCCACACGCAGGCCAACTTTCCTCTTGCTGCCAACACCCCAAGTGGCCTCCCCAACTCCTTTCCAAAGCCCTGGCTGACAAAGTTGCAAAAACTCGAAGCTTCCTACCGGGAACAGAGAACCCCCCTCCCCGCGGCGTCAGACGGATTCCCATCAGGCATGCAGACGACAAACACTCCCTCCCCTGCCTCTCCTCACAGCTTCCAGGAATCTTAGGCCCATGGCCACAGGGTCTTGGCGCCTTTGTCCTGTGGACTGGGCAGAGGGCACAGGAGGAGAGGAGCCTGCAGGCTGAGCCTTCGGCCTGCTGGGTTGTTCTCTGACAGCTTGTGGTTTCGGCCTTGCCATACGAGGTGCTAGCCCACACCCTCCCCAGTCTGGCAGGCAGGAAAGCAAGGGGAGTTGGTCCCTTCCTGAGAGGGACACCCTGAAGGACAGTGACCAGACTCGGGCAGAGCATGGAGGGATAACCACAGCAAGGAAAGTAAGCACAGGGCTCTCATTAAAGGGAAAGAGCAGAAAAAGGGAGGGGAGGGATAGGGGAGTGGCAGAGAAGCGGAAGGTAGCTGACCCTCTGCTGAGCAAGCTACAAGAATCCCTCTCCCACGTTCCAGAGCATTCAGGCACGTGTCCTAAAAAAACTCTCAGAACAACTATTTTTCCTGGGGTGAGGAAAGTTGGATCCCTCTGTAGGCATGGGGCAAAGGAATGGGGCAAAGGCAAACAGAACAAAGAACAGGAGATGAGAACAAAGAGCCAGAGGCCCAGAGACTGGAAATCCATCTCAACAGCAAAGGGAGGGAGAGTATCATTTTCACATCTGCAGGGGCCAAATTCCAGGACCTCCCTCCATGGAGTGCTCCCCTCTTAAGGAGGCAGATGGCTGGGCGTGGGCTTCCAGCAAAGGGGACCAAAGGCCAGGGAGGTGGGAACACAAGGAATGGGAGGGTGGACAGCACTGTCAGAAAGAAGGAAGCCATCACACAGGATTCACAGGCACCTCACAGCACTCCCCTTCCCCAATAACTGGTCACCTCTTGCCATAGCGGTGACAGACAAGAAGACTGGACAAAGCCAGGCACCGCACTTTACCCAGCCCGTCACTGAGGCCCATCACTGGGTTAAACCCTCTGCTCTGAGGGGTGTCTGGGTGACTCAGGTTACCCTGATTCTTTACTTTGGCCAAGAACATGACCTCAGGGTTCTGGGGAGTCAGCTTGAAGATTCTCTCCCCTTGCCCCTGCTCATGCTCTCTAAAAAAATAAAACTTTAAAACAAACACACCAACGCTCTGCTGACAGAAGGGTCAATTACTCAAGCTGGCTCCCAGGTGTGAAACCAAACTCCAGGCCAAGGGAGGCTCCTGCAGCTCAAGTGCCCTGATCCTCCAAAAGATGGCATTTACCTCACTGCTCAGCTAACAGGAGGTTAACAGAGCAGACACGAAGAGGAAGACTGTTTTTCATTTACTCTGCGTGTTACCATCCCGTACACATTCACACACTCACATGGATAACTCTTCCTTTGGGGCCAGGGCCCAAGCCCACGCTCAGAACACATGTTCATCTCATGCCCTCCGGGACCTGACTATGGGGGGCAGGGGGGAGGGTGCTCACCCAGGCTGTTCCCGCCACAAGCCTGTAGGATCCGCCGGGCTCGCTTCTTAGCATCTTCTGGGAAGCTGGGGCTGTCCAACAGGTTTGGGTAGGTGCACAGTGCCATCACCTGGGGGTAGAGAGGCGCGGGCTGGGCTCCCAGCACCCCCAACCCCAGAGCCCCAGGAGGGCCGTGAGGACCCTGAGCATGGACACTGTGATGACCACAACTCCGGTACATGCCTCTCCACGAGGGCTCCAGCCTGCGGGGAGCTTGGGGTGGCTGGGGAGGAGCATGCTGGGCTCTTTGCAGCAGGAGATGCTGAAAGGTGGGATACATCATGACCTGGGCTTGGGACCCAAAGGGAGAGCTGCCAGAAGAGGAGCCGGGGAACAGAAGAGCCTGCCCCTCAGTCCCTGGCCCTAACTCTTCCAAAGAGTTCGGCAGTTCACACACCCAAGGCCACAAGATCCAGGGGGCTCCTGAGCAGGGGCCAGGGCTGAGCAAACAGGTGAACCCCAAATGAAAGGAGCACAGACCCCTTCCTAAAGCACAGACTGAGTGTCCTCCCCCACACTCTCAACCCCTGCCCCCTCTCTCACCGTCATCCCCTTTCCTGGCCAAAGGCCGGGTCAGTTTCCCCATCTCTATAACAGAGAAAATCACCCTAACCTCACAAATTAAGAGGATTAAGCAAGGAAGTGTTTGCAAAAGTGCCAGTAAACCCCAGCTCACCGGGCAAGTCTAAGCTGGCAGCCCAAAAGCTGTGCCAAGAGCCCTGAGGGGAAGCGAGGGCTCATGGCTCTGACACCAGCTGGGTGACTTCAGGTGGGAGCTGGCTTCCTGGTGCCTCACTTGTTCATGCGTACAACGGGCAGGGACCCGGCCTGCCCTCCTCCCACGGGCACTTGTGAAGAGGAGAGACGTGTGAAGGCTGCAGGATGCCAGCACCAGGTAGGAGAGGCTGGGTTTGCCACAGCCAGAGCCGGAGCCGGATTTGGGAACAAGTCAGCCAGCCAGAGGAGGCTGAGTCAACAGGAGCCTCTTCATGCCCAGAGCCCCAGGCACGTGTGGGGAACCGCTTCTACTCTCTCCTCCAGAGCTGTGTGACTCTAGGACACTCAGGGCGGTCCAGCCTTCTGCCTCCGCTTCCCCACCAGAGCTGCTCTGTTTGGTCTGATCCATTTCCCCAGCTTCGGGCCCAGTTTGGGGCCTCATTTGTTCACAAGCTGCTGGTATGCTCCTGAGCTCACCAGCAGTGGCCACGGGAGGGGAGCCCCAGTGACATTCCTCGGCTCAATGCCAGCCTCGGTTCTCTTCCCCAGACCCTGTGTGAGCTCCCCAAGCTAAGTCAGGTCCCTGCACCCCTCCACCAGAGAATAGGGCAGGGTCACCCCCGCCACGCCAGCCCCTGCAGCAGGCGTAAAGGGCGGGGGCCTCCGGGGCTCAGCTGCCCTGCTTGCCCAAGCCTGCGAACCTTAACCATGTAAGGACCACATTTTGCTCCATAGGATGCAGCTTTCGCCAACGCTGGTCTCTCCCTCTATTCAGGAGGCCCTTGGCATTTTTTTCTCCCGCCAGCCCACCGATCCCACAATTTTAGCCCATGCAGCATCCTTGCAGTTGGTGCCCAAACGGAAACACTAAACCCCACCTCCTGGAGATCTCAGGAGCAAGATGGGTCACATCAGCAAGGCAAGCAGGAGAGCAGCACTGACAGTGGTTACCAACCGCACACTCTCCTGTGGGCCAGGGGTCAGCACTTCATACTCAATGTCACACTGAGGCCCCCAGCTGTCCTCCAAGGCAATGCTCTGGTGACTTGCCCTTACTCAAAGCCACCCAGCTGGTAAGTGGCAGAGTCAACGCTCAAACTCGGGGTGTCTCACTTGGGATGAAAGTATCTGGACCCCCACGTATCACCTCCCAGCCCACTGGGCCTCTACCTCTCCAAGCTGCTTCTCTGACACGCTTATGAACCAAGCTCTGATCTCAGTATCCGAGACCACAGACTATGGAAGGGTATCCCTGGGAGCCTCATACGCAAGAGTAACCCCAAAGTGAGTCTAGACATTCTAGACAACTTTGGAAGGGGAGGAGACTGAGGGAGAGGCCCAGGGCACATCAGGCACCGGAGGGGTGCAGAACTCTCCATGGCACCCCCCTGTGGGACTCTGGCGCCTGCTGTGTCCCGAGGGGGCTAGACAGGGGAGGAAGCAGGAATGATAGGAGCTGGCTGGCCCACCCCAGCTCCCGATCCCTGCTCTCCCAGCAGCCTCTGCTCCTGAGCGCCAGCTTACCTGTCGGAGGAAGGTTATTGGCTGCTGGCCCATGGCCTGGGCGTCCCCGATGTTGGCACGGATAACTTCAGTGAATGGTTTTTTGATACCCTGAGCAGAGAAAAGGCAACAGGTGGTTACTTGGAGACTCAGAGATCCTGGATTCGCCAAGCAATGCCCCCACAGGATATTAATAAACACTCCTATTTTGAGCCTTACCAGGTGTCAGGCATAGTGCCAAGCCCTTGACATGGCTCGCCCCATTTAACCTTAACCACCACCGCATGAAGAACTAGTATTAATCTCATTTTACAAATGAGGAAAACGAGGCTTCAAAAGGCTAAGCAACTTGTCCGAGATCACATAATTGATAAATGCAAGTAGTGGGATTTGAAGCCAGACTCCAAGATCACTCTTCTCAACCATTATGCTCACCACCACCCACTTTCTAAGAAGGCTGCAGGAGTTCTCCTTGGCTACCAAGCACCCCGAGGCAGCTGCAGGTCCAGGGCCTGCCAGCCAACTTGGCCTGGGAAGGATGCCTAAAAAGAGGACCTTGGGGCAAAAGTGGTGGGAGGCAGGGGTCAGTAGCAGAGGCCCCCAAACATTAGGGAAAGGCCCCCACAACTTGCCCCCAAGCACGGCTCCATCTCAACAGCCTAAATAAATGGCCAGGGCACCAGAGCCACCCTCCCCTCCAGAAGACCCCCAATCAGCAGGGATCTCTAGGCTTGTTCCCTTGCAACCTGGTTTTGCAGAATAAAGAATGTGGGCTGATTTTCACAAAAAAAAAAAAAAAAAGCACCAAAGATGCAAAGAATGGCTGCAGAACTCTCAGTCACCGCCCGAGCAATGTGTTCAACACAGGAAGGAGGTCCCAGAGAGGAGGGACTCAGAGACCTGCCAACTTCAACGTCATGCGGGACAGGGGTGGGGTGACTAAAGGACTCCCGGCTGCTGAGAATGAGAAAATGCACTCTGGACGGAGGTTTTGGGGATCTGGAAATACGGGGATTCCACAGAGCTCCCAAGTCCAGAATGTGCCACTAGAAGCGTTAAGAATCAGCAGCAAGTTCAATGACCGCCCTCCCCCCCGCCCCCAGGGTGGCTGAGACAAACAGTACGAAAGCACTTGGCAGAGTACAAACATCATCATCTTACAAAGCCGGACCAAGAACGAGGTTGGGAGGGTCGTGGCAGAGAAAGGCGGCTGTGGGGCAAGGAGGAGGCAGGACCAAGAGGTGGCCTGGATGGAAAGCCTGGCCACCTTCCCATCTCCAGCTGCCCTTTCCTCAAGGACATGTTAAATTTAAATTTTAAAAATACAAATTCTATGTATTTTTATTTAAATTCAATTTTGCTGGGGCACCTGGGTGGCTCAGCGGGTTGAGCCTCTACTTTCAGCTCAGGTCATGATCTCAGGGTCTTGGGATCGAGTCCAGCATTGGGCTCTCTGCTCAGCAGGGAGCCTGCTTTCCCCTCTCTCCGGCCTGCCTCTCTACCTACTTGTGATCTATCAAATAAATATAATCTTTAAAAAAAATAAATTCAGGGTGCTTGGGCAGCTCAGTGGGTTAAAGCCTTTGCCTTCGGCTCAGGTCATGATCCTGGGGTCCTGGGATCAAGCCCCACATCGGGCTCTCTGCTCGGTGGGGAGCCTGCTTCCTCCTCTCTCTCTCTGCCTGCCTCTCTACCTACTTGTGATCTCTGTCTGTCAAATAAAGTCAAATAAAGTAAATAAAATCTTAAAAATAAATAAATAAAATAAAAAATTCAATTTTGCTAACATATATTGTATTACGGTTTCAGGGGTAGAATTTAGTGATTCATCAGTTGCATATAACACCCAGTGCTCATTCCATCAAATGCTCTCCTTCATGCCCATCTCCCAGTTACCTTATCCCCCTGAAGCAACCCTCAGTTTGTTTCCTAGAGTTAAGTGTCTCTTAGGGTTTGCCTCCCTGTTTTCTAAGGTTCTGACCCTTGTCTTTTCTCCAACTCCCACAATGTGTGAATTAAATCACCTTTAGAAAACTTTGCCTTTTCAAAATCAATAATATACACCTTAAGTAAAAAACAGTGATCTTAAGGGACAAAAGTAGCTTTTATCTCTCTGCCACCTCATCTGCCACCTCCAAGACCCTTCCATTTATCTGGCTATTCTGGAGCAAGAAGGCATGGGGTGGGGGACAGAGCCAGCTGGGGAGGGTGTCTCAGAACTGGCCATGGACCTTCATAAACAGGGCTTGGTAAGTCTCTAAACGCCTATGGGGGGAAAGAGGCCTTTTAAATCCCTGTGTCCCTTCTGCACAGCTCTTCAGGGCTGGTCAGTATGCGAAGAGGTCCCAGCTTAAGTGTCCTGAGGGCTAAGGCCCATGGGTGGCACCACCCTCTGCTCCAGGGCTAGGACAGGGGTGAGAGCAGGACCCTGGAGACAGACTGAGAGGCATGTGGCCTCAGGGCTCACCCCACAGGCAGGAGGCTGGGGGGTGGAGGAGGGGCCAGGCCATGGTATACAAAGGGGTAGGACTGACTCACCCCCATTGGCACTGGCCTGAGCTCCTGGCACGGGTCCCTCTGTCAGCATGTGAATTGCCACAGCCCCCTAGGCCTGGCCAGCTGAGCACAGGTAATTTCCATGGTATGGGCACAGTTCATTCTTTGGTAGGGATAAAATCCGTCACAGTCGAGGGCCAGGAACCAACACACAGCTGTGGGCCCTCAGCCAGCCCAATGCAGGGAGAGAATATGCCTGGAACAGAGCCCTGGATGTGCCTTTCCCATGCCCGCCCCCTGCACTGCTCCCCCAGTTCAGGGCCTGCTGACAAGAAGCCTGGGAACACTGCGCATCTCTTTTCTTGGGTCTAGGTGCCCACAGACCCCAGACATTTTGCTGTGATGGATGAGCTGGGGGTGGGGATGGGGATGAGCTGGCTCCCTTGAATGGGCAGCAGATCAGCCTGCCCAGCCAAAGGCCCCCGTATAAAGGAGACTGTTCTAGAGCAGACTCTCACCAAAAAAGCACTGAAGGTCCACACAGGATGGGAAATAACAAGGAGCCAGGGACTGACTCCTGCCCACAGTGACTTATCCAGGTCTGATCGGCACACCCAATAGTGACCTTGCCTCGGCCCAGCCCCAGGAGCCATCAGGTCAGCAGATAGCATTCCCGTTCCCTCTCACAGTATCCAGGAGCACATCTAGATAATCCACCTGCTTACATCCCACCCAGTGCTGCCTCCCTAGGCTTGGGGACGGGGTGGGGGGTGGGGGGTGGGGGGGTGGGGGGCAGGCAGTTGAGATAATGTCCGACCCAGAGAACTCCTTCCCCTCCGTTCAGCTTAAGTAGGGATATGGGAATAGGCCCTCTGGCTCAAGAGACGACCTATTTCAGAGGGTGTTAGCAAGAAGGAAAAAGACTATCAATGGCCTTCCCAGTTCACAGGCCCAACATCATTATGAAGGTTGATGGGACGAAAGCTGATTCCAACAGGCCCAAGGCAGTTTTCTTAAGCAAGGGATGGCTCCTGTCATTTCATGTGACATGTAGGGGGAAAGGCTGGGTAGGACAGTTATTCCCTGGAACAGAGCCCTTGATGTGCCTTTCCCATGCCTGCCCCTTGCACTGCTCAACCAATTCAGGGCCCACTGACAAGAAGTCTGGGAACACTGAGCATTTATTTTCTTGGGTCTGTGTACTCAAGGTCCACATGGGATGGGAAACCCTGAACTCCAGGGGTCTGTGGGAAGGTCACCAAGAGAACAGAGACTCACAGGGAAGAAGCAGGAATGATAGCTGATGAGCTCCAAATAGAATAATTCATGACAGCAAGGCTAAGGCCCAGGCAAGACAGAGCACATACTGCAGAATGCACTCCCAGACCCAGAGAGGCTCAGCATGAAGGCAAGGAAAGGGCATTCCTTGGTGCTTCTCCTCAAGCAACTCTCATTAGTTTGAGAAAAAGGCTCTTAAGAGGTTTTTTGTTTTGGGTTGTTGTTGTTTTTTTTTTTAGATTTTATTTATTTATTTGACAGACAGAGATTACAAGTAGTCAGAGAGGCAGGCAGAGAGAGAGGAGGAAGCAGGCTCCCTGCTGAGCAGAGAGTCCAATGTAGGGCTCGATCCCAGGACCCTGAGATCATGACCTGAGCCAAAGCAGAGGCTTTAACCCACTGAGCCACCCAGGCACCCCAGCTCTTAAGAGTTCTGACTTCTAGCTGTTCTCATCTCAAACTAGTCTTTAGAGGAAATAAATTGGCCCATTTTGCAGAGGCAGAAACTGAGCACAAGGTGCTCTGAAAGACTTCTCTGAGGCCTACAGCATGTAAAGCAAAGCCCAGGATGTAGGTCCATGGTGACCTGGACAAGGTGGGTGGGGGAGGGTTTGTTCTATCAGAAGCCAGCACTACCAATTTGTTTTAAATTGAACGTTGAAGAAAATGACCATGAGATTTCACCACCTGTGCTTGGCACAACCAGGGTTTCTTAGTTCTCAGGTAACTATAACTATGTGCTATATAGCACCTTCCATTTTTACCAATGTAGATGCAGCACACACTGATTTTAACAGTCACAATCAGTTTTTCCCTCTGTTTATGAATGTTTCGCTCCAACTATGTGTACTTTACAAACAGAAGTAGAGCCATTCCTGTCTCTACTCGTGCCAACTTCCTCCCCTCCTGCAATAAAGGAAAAAAGTAGTAGGTTGAGGAAGAACTGACAGATCTTTTCAAAACTCCTACTAATTGCAGCTTATTTTTAAGTGCTGCTCCCAGTGAACACCAGGATCTGAAAAGCTAATAGTTTCTCCCCATTTGGAGCTTGGAGCTGCTGTCAGGGAGAAACAGGGCCTCTCTGAGAGCACACAGACAGAACTGGAGTTGAATGGCCCCTTTCACACCCACTTAACCAACTTCTCCTCCCTCCCTCAGGCCTTCCTGAGCACTCTCCACTCCTATCACTGATGGAAGGTGGATGGGACTTGCCCCGCAAGCCACCTCAAAGTCAAACACCAGAACCACGTGTCCAGCCAAACAGTGAGTACTATCTGCAGAGCACCTGGTGAAATAATTCCAAAAGGCAGCATAAAAGCCAGGACCCCTTCAGATGGACAAGAGATACAAAAGTCAGGGCAGGGAATTGGGGGGGGGGGGCGGATCTCTGGGCCCACCAAGCCACCTTTCTCCTTTTAGGGAAGACCAAAGCCAAGAGATGATAGATTCACCCCAAGTCACCCTATAAATCCTCACCCGTCCCATCTCTACCCAATCAAACTCTTTATAACATCAGTCCCATTTTGATCACTGCAGTTCAGAACAGAGGTAGAAAAAAAATGAAGCTGTGCAGAGCCAAGCCAAAAAACGAAAAAAAAAAAAAAAAAAAAGACTGGGAAAAATATGGTTCTCTCAGAAGGGGCACTGTGTAAGCTAGCAAAGTAGATACAGGGGGTCTCCCAAAATGAAAGGTTTAAGGGAGGCTATGCTGGCTTGGCTGAGCTATGTCTCTAGCAGCTAGACTGGGACAATGTGAGAATAAAACAAGAAGGCGTTAAGTTTGAATGAAAGCACCAGAAAGGAGGTGTACACAAAACTCAACTTACTTAGGAGTAGGCTATGGGAATGTGCATCATCGTCCCTCCCAGAAATCACACAGTGCTTCCAGCTTAAATGATCAAGAAATTTGTTCACCACAATCATGGAACTGTGCCCTACTGGAACCCCTTCATGGTTCCCCACTTCACACCAAAACCCCCACTTTGCACCAGAAAGTCCTGAGCCCAGCCCCCAAACTCCAGCCCACCTTTTCTGTCTCATTCATCTCCTGTAACCTCCTGCCATAGCGCTGCTCTTCAAACAGCACCAACCCCTGACCCAAATGCCAGAACTTCCCAACCCTCCATCCTTGCTCACAGCTCCCACCTGGAATGCTCTCACATTTTTCTCTGCCTGCTAAAAAATCCCACCAGTCCTTAAAAAAAGTGGTGGGGAGAGGCTCAGGTCCATAGGTGTGCAGTCAGCCTCCTGAAGACAAAGACAGGACACCTTTCTGTCCTAATCATCCTCGTACTTCATGGAGCCCACACCCAAGCTGCTATTTAGCAAAAGGTGGAGAGAATCCCTGGAGCCTTTACCAGCTCTGAAACCAGAGGAATTAGCTTAAGTGATAAGCCCGGAACAATTTAATCTCAGCTTTGCTTTAACAGGGAAAACTGTTGTCTCAAGGACAGGCAACTCCAGTCGGCCAGTCACACAGAGCAGAGTGGCAAAACTTGTGTTTTCTGTCTCTGGCCCACCTCACACCTCGGGCCAGGAAAGCACAAAAGCCGAGCCAGCCTTCTGTGAGCCAAACCTTAAACTTAGCCGTGAAAGGAGTCAGAGGGAGACACTGGACTCTGACTAGTTCAGCTCACTATTTTCAGTCAGGAGAACTGGGCATCCCACCACTGCTTCCTCCCATACACTCATGGGACACTAAGTGATCAACTCGCCCCAGAGTCACCCAGTTCTAGAGCCTCTGAGAGCACAAGATCAAGGAACCCTCCCCCACCCGCATTCTGGGTTAGAACTATCTTAAGCAAGCAGCTGTTTCATCAGATCTTAGAAATCTTAGCAGTGTGTGCTTTTTTTTTTTTTTTTTTTTTTTTTTTTTTTTTTTTTTTTTTTTTTACACTGCCTCTCTTCACTCGGCCTCCTGAATTCCACTCAGGTTAGAATTGGTTTCTTACAGAGGTATCTCTTACACACACCCAGTCACCCTGGTTGTAGGAAATCACTCCTGGGCATGCAGTCACTTTTATATGCAACTACAAACGAAAGCCAAGATCGCAGTCAGCCAGCCACCCAAGACAAAGAAAGTCCAGGGCCATCCCACCAAGGCTCCAAAGGCTCAAGACTTTGACGACCCACTGGGGAGGAATGTATCCCCAGAGACCAAAATGTGTGGCCAATCAAGGTTTCAGTGAGGCAGGAATCCTTCAGGACCCCCCTCCACACCTCCCCTCTTGTCATGGAATCCTTACCGGCAGAACGACCAAAAAGGTCTCAGAAAGAAAAAAACCTTCCTCCCTCTCCTCCTACCTAACATGCCATCCTTCCCAACACTCCCATCCAGCACCCCCTTACACCATTCCTCCATTTTATTTTCTCCAAAGCACTTATTCACTATCTGAAATTCTCTTGTCTCTTTCTTTACTGGTTGTTGTTAACCTCTCCCCACGGACCTAGGTTCCGCCACGGGTAGGACAGCCACATAACGTGCAGTGCCTGGCACTACTGGTCGCTCAATTATAATTGATGAATTCAATTCAACAAGTGAACCGTATCTGAGGGCCTTACTTTGTGCCAGGTGCCGGGCGGGCACCAGCGGGTGAAGGGATAGGAGGAGGGCATTCTTGTTTTAGCCAACCTTGGCTGAACGAAGGAGCTGGCCACCGGAGTGAGAGGAAGCCCCAGCGGGCGGACCCCAGCCTTGAACAACTACTCTTCTCCCTCTCCCCAACCCCTGACAGTTTCGGCGACCCTAGCCTCCCTGGGCCCTCCCGCCCCGCGGCCCCAGGCGCCCGCGCTCACCCGCTGCAGCTCGAGCTCGATCTCGCCGGCCTTGAGCACGATGGGTCCCCGCACCGCATACTCCACAGCCTTCACCTGCGGGTTCATGGACTCAAGCGTAAGGATGCGCTCGCGCCGGCTCCGCTCGGGCCGCACCTTGAGCACTGCCGAGGCCTCGGCGGCCGCGCTGCTCTGACTACGACTCCACGGGCCCGGGGTCCGGGGGCAGCAGCCCCGCCGGACCAGTGCCGCTGCCCGCTGCATCGCGCGCCCGCCCAGGAGAACCTTGACACTAAAAGAAAAAGAACAAACATGTCGCGCACAGTCCAAGGCGGGCACCAGTGCCCCAACCCCCAAGCCCAGCCAAAGGGCCCTTTCAGCGAGCGGAGCCACCTTGGCTCCGGGGCCGGGTGCCCATCCCCCGGCGACTCGAACCCTTCACCGCGCTACCGCAGAACCAAAGCAGTTTTGCAAAAGCTGCGCCCAATGCACGAATGAAACGTGCCTGCTGCCGCCGCCTGGCCACCCCTAGCTGCGCCCAGCTACCGCGCGCGCCTGAAACCGGCCCCGGGCTTCGGCGCCAGCAGCCGCATTTCAGCACCCAGAGACCGCACCGCCCGGCCCCCGGCGCTCGCACACCCACAGCCGGCGGGTCCGCCCCGGGCCTGCCCACTGGCTCCTGGGCCTTGTAGTTCCCCAGTCCGCTTCCAGAGCCGACTTGGAAAGTGGTTGAACTACAAGTCCCATAGTGCTCCGCGCTGGCCAGATAGGGGGCCGGGCCGGAGGCGGGAACGGTCTTCAGACTCTGCCGGGGGCTGGGCAGGCTCTTTGTCCCCCGCTCTGGGGCTGGGGAGCTGGGCGGGGGTTTGGGCCAGGGAATGTTCTTTCAGCCTCCTACGAATCTGAGCTTTTTGCAGTGTGTCTGGAAGCGCATCCCTCCCTCCACGACCCCTCCCCCCTCTCCACCCACTACCGAGCACCTGCGAGGAGACGGCTGAGAGATGGTGCAGTCCTCGCCCGGGGTTTCATCATCCAGGGCCCGAAGGTGGCAGTGGCCGCTCAACGGGAGCTGGTAGGAAGTGGAGCTTAGGAGTTTGGGACCGGACTGCCACTCTTTACCCCTCTGAACGTCAGCTTCCTTGTCAGCAAAGCGGAGATCTGACCCTAGCCTCTAAGGGTGGTTGTGAGAATTAAAGGATCAGCACCAGGCAGGTTCCAGATGGTCAGCCTTTTCCTGACTCCATCTGTAGCACTTCCCTACCTTCATTACCTCTTTATTTCTTGCAAGCATCTGAAATTATCTTATTTAGATACCTCTTACCGGATTATGGTCCACCTCCTGCATTCACCACGTTAGCTCCAGAAGAGTAGTGTTTCCTCTTCATCCCATTCATAGCACCTTTAAGGGTTCCCGGCAGATAGGTAGGCACTAGTAAATATTTGTCGAAGAATTTTTTTTGGCAAAGGTATTACTAGGCAAAGGCACCTTGGCTCCCCCAGAGTGAGTGCAGGGCAAGAGTCGGAATGGAAAACACTAGTCTGAGACACCAAAATCCAGAGAGCCAGGGAGAAATCACTTTCCCTCTCTGGGCCTCAGATGTCTATCTGCAAAGTAAATTGGGTTAAATGCCCCCAAGGTCCCTTCCCCTCTTGGAAATTCTGTATATAGGTGTTTTCTTGCAGAAAAGCAGCCCAAAGCTCCCTCACCCCAACAAACAAACACTCAGTATTAGATTTGTGAAAGTAGGGGGCAGGAGGCACTTTAAAAACACAGCAGTGGGGGTGCCTGGGTGGCTCAGTGGGTTAAGCCTCTGCCTTAGGCTCAGGTCATGATCCCCAGGGTCCTGGAATAGAGCCCCGCATGGCATTGGGCTGTCTGCGCAGCAGGGAGCCTGCTTCCCCCCTCTCTCTGTGCCTGCCTCCCTGCCTACTTGTGATCTCTCTCTCTCTGTCAAATACATAAATAAAAAATCTTAAGCACACACACACACACACACACACACACACAGCAGTGCAGGGGAAAAGGTACTAGAAAATCTGTGTTTGAATGTAGATACATATAATCACTTACCTCTTGGCTGACTTTGAACATGTTACTTAGCATTTGTAAGCCCAGTTTCCCCATCTGTAAAATGGGGTAACACACTTAACCTCTTGGGACTGTGAGGATAGTTCAGTGAGGTAACTCTGAAAAAGCCAAGAGTTTGGAACCTACTGCTATGAGTCTCTCTTACTCATCCTTGTCAAGAGATTGCCATATACTTGGAGTAGATAAATTGATTACCAATAAAAGGGAAAAGTGGATTGAGGGAGCAGCAGACACGAAAATCTCTGAATATTTCTATATTAATAAACTGGCTTGCCCACCAAAGACAGTTATTTGGGCTTCTTATCAATGGTTCCACCCCCAGCACTTCTGTTGATACTGTCTGCTTCCCCGCCTCTGTCCCAGTGGCTAGGTATCCAGTCTCCAGGCAAAGATACCCTCCGGGAGCTTGACTTCTCTAAGGACACCACTGCCTTCAACGTCATGTTCTCACCTGCTCTGCCCAGTTGTGCAGAAACACACCCACACACCTCTATCTCTAAAACACATTTAACCTTGACCCACATAAAATGTAAACACAGTCCCTCACTGTTCACCCACGGGTTGGTGCACTTCCTGTAGTCTCCACCCCAGATCAGAAGGGGCAGGGGAGTTGGGAGGGTGGGTGGGCATACAGAGGTGAGGACAAATCCATTTGCAAAACTGGGGAAAACAATGCGTAGCACAAAGTCCATCTACGTGGGCTCACACGTCATCATTGTAGAAAACAAGTTAATGTCCAAATTATGTCCTTAGCCAACCTGTGATGACTGCATGAGAAGAGAGCTCTCTTTCTTTCCTGTGAACCACACTACTACAATTTACAAAGCACTTTCATACTTATCACTGCATTTGAACCTGATAGACATCAATGAAGTGAAAAAGGCAGGCATTATCCCCATCTTGCAGATGAAGCTCAGAGAGATTAAGTGACTTATTCAGGTGGCGCAGTCAAGTGCAGAGCCTGAACTGTGATTTCTAACCCAGCGCTTCAGTCCATACATGCAGGGACCAAGCTTGTGTAGCTCTGTGGGTTTGGAAATTTGCACTGCCACTGTAATGCTCTGAGCCCTAGAAAAGCTTTTGGGTGGTAGTTGTGATGATGATGGTGGCAATAGAGTGAACTGTGGCTTAATTTTGCCCTCTACAGGGGTGCCTGGTGGCTCTGTCAGTTAAGTAGCTGCCTTCAACTTGGGTCATGATCCTAGAGTCCTGGGATGGAGCCCCACATCGGGCTCCCTGCTGGGTGGGAAGCCTGCTTCCCCCTCTCCCACTCCCTCTGCTTGTGTTCCCTCTCTCGCTATGTTTCTCTCTGCCAAATAAATAAAATCTTAAAAAAAAAAATTGCCCTCTACACCAGATTGGCGTGGAGCAGGAGCAGCTTCTAAATATTAAAGAGAAAACCTCATTGAAACAGTCATGAAAGTTCTCTCTGTGAGTGGGACGAGGGCTCCAAATACACAGCAAATCCCTGACGATCCACAGTTGGAAGAGTCATTTGTTTGCAAGACATGGTACAGCTTGCCATTCCGTAACAAGTTTTTACTGAGCACCTCTCATGTGCCAGGTGCTGACCTGAGCTCTGGGACTATAGTGAGTCACACAGATGGTCCTTGACTACACAGACATACAATTTCTTAGGAAAGGTGGACATCCATTAGATAAGCACACACACAAGCATGTGATTGCAAACTGTGATAACGGGTCGGGAGAGAAAGGACAGTTTTATGAATACTTACAGTCCGTAAGTCTGAGCAAAGGTTTCCCAAAGTAGCCTACGACCTGCCCAGAGAAGCCTGGCAGGATGATAAGGGGTAGCAGTACTGATGGGTGTGGTAGACACGGGGATGTGCCCTCACCCATCAAGGGAAAACTTGCCTGGAAAAAAATCGGAGAGAATTTACCTTCAACTAAGGGGTGTGGTCTGTAGCCTGCCTCCACCTGCCAGTGCCATCAGGGTCTGCCTCACTTGCACAGAACTGGCCTGAGGTTGCCGTCGCACCCTGACAGGAGAAGCCTAGGTTCAGTGACTGAGCGAGACTCAGGAAGTGCTGGGGCGGTATTTGCTGCAAGGCTTCCCAGGAGGTTGGCTGAGGCTTTGGCAGGCCTGCTTCATGGTTTTTCTTTCTCTGCCCAATCCTGCTGCCTCCCACTTCCTCCTACAGAAGCAGATTCCTAATATCCATCTTGCACCTCACACTCCATCTCAGTGTCAGTGATGAGGCACCAATGTCCCAGGCCAGGGACTGCTGAGAAGCTCCGAGAAGGCTACGGTGACTGCAGGGCAAACTATGAGGGAGAGGAGCAGGGCTGGAAGAAAAGGGTCAGAGGTGAGCGGTTTGGGACAGGCAGCCTAAGGTCCTAAATGTAAGCATTTCAGTTTTCATTCTAAGAATCATTAGAAGCCTTTGGAAGGCTTAAAGTAAGGAAGTCACATGATCATATTCCTGTTTGAAATTCTGCTGCATGAGGATGGATTGGAGAGGGGCAGTTGAGGATGCAGGAGGATGGACTATGGCACCAACAATGTCCAGGGTTGGCCTGGACTAGGGAATGGTGAGAAACAGACAGGCTCTCTGGCATCCCCAGAATCTAGTATATTACCTGTCACACAAAATTTCCCAGTAAATTTTTGCTGAATGAATGAATGAATGAGTGAATGAGTGCATGAAATAGACTCTGTAGGGTCTGTGCTCTCAAGGTGGCTGCAGTCCGGGAGAAGGGTGGTGCATAGTAAGTGTGATAAGGGCAGCCCCCAGGAGTGCAGAGCAGCCAGTCCTCCAAATCAGCGAGGGCTATTCCACTCAGTGGAACAAAAAATGAGAGGGTCTTCCCAGAAGAACAGATGGGCATTATGGGGCTACAAGGAGGGACTGATGACCTTCCAGAATGTCAAATCATGCTCAGACTGGGTGCTTGGGTGACTTAAAGGTAGTTCTTACTCTCTTGCTCCCAAGGACACTTGGGGAGCTCAGTGGAAGTTAGTGGAAGTTATCAATAAACAAATGTCTTGACCCACGACAATGATTCTATTGTCCCAGGAGCCCCTGAGTGTTTGCCTAAAATGCAGATTCCAGACTTTTTGGTTTTGAAACTCTAGGGGCGCGTTTGCCCAGGAATGTTCCTATATTGGGATTTTTAATTTTAAAAATTATTATTTTTTTTTCTGGAGAGAGAGAGCATGAGCAGGGGGAGGGGCAGAGGGAGAGAGAGAATCTTAGTCAGGCTCCACACAGCCCAGAGCCAGTCATGGGGTTCCATCTCATGACCCTGAGATGGTGAGCTGAGCCAAAATCAAGAGTCCAGCACTTAACTGACTAAGCCAGCCAGGCACCCCTCCTATAATCAGGATTTTGATGTACCAAAGTTTGAGAACCACAGGTATAATGCAAGGGGGAAAAGCATAGATCAGAGTTCTGAATTCTGGTTCCAAAGCTGTCACTAATCTGTTGCGTGACCTTGAGCCAGCGCTGTCCTCTTCTCTGGCCTTAGCCTCCTCATCTGCAGAACTA